GAGAGAGAGAGAGAGAGAGATGATATACCGAATCAGAAGCCATGAAAAATTTGATTTGTTTGCAGAAATTCTTCTGCAATGACGAAAAGCGGACAAAATCGTTGTCCGCATACTGTTTGGCCATAAGTATCACAAAAAAGACAATCAATTGAAAGATTATCCAAAAGTTAAACCAAAACCAGTAACTCATACCTTAAGTCCGGATAAATGTGGCAATTGTTTGACTCCTTCGGCCACCGCTTTAATTATATCGACTATAAATTATATAAAATCAATTTATTACAGTAATTAACAAAAATTTTTGCACACAAATAATATTATAAAAACTATTGGTAACTCTACTTACAGATTAATTCACCGACACGAGCAACGTTATGATAATAATATAGTGGTGTTTGTGGGGCGGCTATAGTGAAGGCCCGCATATAGTCAACCCATTCGCCAACATTTGTCGGTTTGTAATAAATCGGTGGCAAAACAGCGATCGCATCGAAACCCAAGTCCTGTACTTTTCGGGACAGTTGTAGCGATTCCTTGAGACACGTCGACGAGACGTTCACTACAGACAACAGATGGCCCGCATTCTGGGCGTCGATGGCCTGACGCCATGCGCTCACAATCGCCACCTTCTCATCGTTGGTCAAACTGTATCCCTCGCCGGTTGTGCCGCATATGTAGAGTCCGTCCACTCCTGAGTCCACCAAATACTTGAGATATGCGGGAATCTGAGAGACATCCACTTCGCTGTCCGAAACAAATGATAGCATTTATAATAGGATTAATTTATTGCTTATTATACCCATTATTGTCAAAGGGGGTAAAGGGGGCGACCATCGCGCCTCTGAATTGTAATAATTTTTGTATTTTCTTCTCCAAACTGACCATGGCTATTTTTCTTTTAAGCACTATTTAAAAAAATTAAAATGGCCATGAAATTATTTACATTATACATTGTACATTATAAATTCTATGCACTCAACCAATATTGACTTTTACTGCAGACGTTCTCAACAATATTTCTGGGTTAAATTTGATTTTTGTGACCCAGTTCATTTATTTCTCCCAAACGGACCTTATCTTAAGCTTTAATTACACCACTTGTGACACTGTATTTAAACCAAGATCACTTTAAGTTGTTTAAAAACTCAAGTGATTTGCAAATTTATGAACAAAACACAACTGAGAAAACTCTTAATAACAACTTCTTATGTAAACGAAATTAATTGGAAAATGGCCTTGAACATACATTATTTGCATTAATTCAATGTACAGTATATACGGTAATATTTATATGACAATCTGTGTAACAAACCTATTATTCGAACTCTCGGTTATTTTATTTATCATTAAAGACATAAAAACAATGCAATTTTGGTGCATTAATTACAATACAAAACAAATTATTTTATTAAAAATATTAAAGTTTTGTTCATTAAAGCATTTAATCAAGCAATGAATCAAACATTACTTGTAAACTTTATATAAAATTAAGTTTTTTTTGTGACTAATTCACCGAAATTGCACTAAGTCATTATTAATCATTTAAATTAAAATTAATGTGTTGATAATAAATAAGCCTCGCAAAAAGTGCGTTTTGGTGCTTTCTTCACAGAAAAACATAACATTAGATACGAGTAATGTTTGATTCATTGAATGACTCAATGATTTAATGAACACAACTTTAATATTTCTAATAAAATAATTTATTTTTTCTGTGAAGAAAGCACCAAAACGCACTTTTTTGCGAGGCTTAATAATAAAGTTGATATATGGCAATTTACCTAGGTTGTATTATATTCAGGCTCTTCAACTCCGCCATCTTTCTTACCTTGAGTAGAGTGCTACAAGGTTTATTTATCTATCTTAATGTTTTAAGCATGTATAATGTCATTACCAATGTACTTTATATTAAAACTTTTTAGCACTCTAATATTACTCAAGGTGAGAAAGATGGTGGAGTTGAAGAGCCTGATATTATATGAATTTTATTTTAGAAAAGCATTCTTAGCCGTTGAAAATAATGTTAAAACTCATTTATGACATTAAACTTAAGCAACTTATTGAAAAACATTCATTTTTGTGATTTTTATATCAAATACTATTAAATACTATGAATAAGTTTTAACATTATTTTCAATTACTAAAAATGCTTTTCATAAAAGTCATATGTGCATTTGTACAAATTTAATTAAATAAAGTATCTGTTCAAATGGAAATTAAGTGGCCTGTCTCATTTGGTGCAGCTAGAATTACTAAAATAGTATAATTATTTAAGGCACCAAAAACCAAGTTTCATAAAATTCACATCAATAGTTATGGCACAGAAATATTTTATATGACACATTAAAATAATGTATTCCTATGAGAGGATATCTGTTTCGATATTTACCTAAGTATGATTTTAGACTAAATTCGATTATGCTCAAACAATAATAGAAATAATGCAAAACCCTCATATAAACCAGGATTGGTCTGACAATATAAAGACTTTCGCATTATGTTCTATTATAATATAAACTTTATAGTATAAACTTTTTACTATATTATTTATAATAATAAAATAATTTACTTTATAATGATAGAGTATATTAATATAAATTATATTATATAATCATTCTAGAAGACTAGAATCATTTCTAAAGATATAATCATTATTTTACTGCATATTAAATCTAGTAATATTATTATTGATATATATCAATATTAATACTAATAAATTATTATTATTTATATAACTTTTAAGTTATATTAATAAAATTATAATGAATAACTTTATATTCTTAAAATTTTATAAATAAAATATTAATATAGTGTATTAATTTACAAAGGTCACATATACAGCATTATATCGTTGCGCATTAAACCACAATATTATATTGTATATTGTATATATTGTCAATATATCTTAAGAAATATTATTATAAAATAGTTTTATATTTAATATAATGTATAATTAAATATATAAGTTTAAAAATAATTCTTATACGTTAGATCTTTAGTAGTAAGTGTTAATATTTAAATATGACATAGCTTAATAACATTTTATTCTAGAATCTAATAGGCAATTAACAAATAACCAGATATAGGAATCGCGGACTAATTTATATACAGTTTTAGCCAACTTTGGCTGTATATAAAAATTATAGACATCAGAGAAGTGCAACCTCGGTGCGTTTGAGTTTTAAATACATATCATACCTGGTCAGTATTTATATAAATATTTATATTTTTAATATCAGTATTGAAAACAATTGGCGCATTATTATGATGGTGAACGACCCGTCAGATATTGATCTAACGTCTATGTTATCGCAATTTGATTGCATATCACGTATATATAGCGTAACATTTGGATCGCAACCGAAGCATAAGTTAATTAAATTGTTTGCAATAATATACACATCGATCACAACAATTGCAGACATCGCTATAATATGGTTCATACCGGCGTCGGACACACAATCCCTGCTTCGGTACGGCTCTCACGGCTATTATATAATGGCCGACACAAAGACACGGCTTATGTATGACATGGCATTAGTATCGGCAAAATGTATTGTACTGTGGATTCTGATCGATCACTACCGGGACGATCATCAATGGGCTCAACGGGTGGCCCATCTGTATCACAACAAGCTGAAAACGGATCAATTGGATGAGTATTTGCGTCGATTGGCCACTAGAATGGCGACCATCATGAAAGTGCTCACTATTGGCTCGATAATGGTATCGATGGTGGTCAACATTGGCGTATGGTGCATTTTGCAACGCAGCTGGTACATTTATTTTGGTTATTGGTACACATTAGCCAATGGTTACCTTTTAGGCACCGTTGGACTCTCGTTATTAATGCGCGATATTTTTATCCAAATATTTATCTCGTTTAAATACATACGTGTTTACCACGTACTCAATGAGGATATGCGTCAAACCGACAACCAAGTGCTTAAAACACAGCTTATACGCCATCATAAGGCATGCGATTCACTGAAGTACGCAAATAAATACATTAAACATCACTTCCTGGCACTATTGGTCGGGTGGGCGCCCACTGTTTGCTACGCTCTATACCTGTATATGTATTTAAAGGGCGAGTCTCTAGTGATGAATATAACGCTGTTTGTGATTTCCTTATTTGTTTTGTTGATATTGTTTTTGGCCATAATTATAGCGCTCACTGATATCGAGGCCAAACAGGGCCTGCATTATGTAAATGGCTATGCGTTCAAACGGCCCGATAAGGCACTTGTATTTCAGGTTAGAATATATTGCATATGATTTTTACCTGTAATTAACGTTTGGATTTTTAGATTAAATTGTATTTTAATCGAGTCTTAAAATCGACGATTGGTTTGACAATATTGGATAATCCTATAAATATTGATAATATTCTAAACGTAAGCATTAAATGTTATAATAAAAATGCATTATACAGTAGTAGATAATCAATAATGTATTAGATGTTATACGTAGTGTTGTAAATTACATGTAATATCGATTTTTATATAACTTATACGTTATTTTTATAGATAATAACCTTGACCATGAGTTTCTTCTCAACGTTGGTTAAATTCAAGAAATTTGAATAAAGTAAACCTAGATGTGAATATTGATGCCATAGGCACATGCTATTCTACTCTCTCTCTCTCTCTCTCTCTCTCTCTCT